CCAGAAAAGCAAATGACAAATATTAGAAATTTCCTTGATGGCTTTGAAGTGATCCCCACAAATTTACACTTCATATTTTTATTTGTTTTTACCAGTAGTTGCAATTTTAATGAAATGAACTGCCAAGTTGTCAGCCAAAAATACTACTCCCTTCGTTTTAATTATGTCATGTTATTTGATTTGACATGAAATTTATAAAACAAAATTTGAAGTTTTTGATCTAAAATATGCTATCGATATTTGTGGGTTAACTTGCTACGAAATATAAAAATATGTTCTTATTTTTAAGATTGACAAACAAAAAATATATCTTATAAATTACGTATCACTATTGATCCTCGAGTTAACTAGCATGGTAGCTACGTAAATACATGTTATTATGCTTTAACTATGGTTAATTACACATTCTAATTAACGTTAATTGCATCACTAAACAAGTGTTCAATAAGTCATATGCAACAAAAAATTTACAAGCGATTATCAATAATTAAAAAGTAAAATGAATAAACAAAATTTTTATATACTTTCTTTGTAATATTTTTTATACATATAAAGTGACTTTGACTCATTCGCCTTCGTGATTCTTAATAATTCCACGTATTAAATAACCAAGCATATTCTTGTGGTAGGTGAATTAAATAACCAGATATCCCTGAAACTTGGAGATTAAACTATTATTCTTGTTTTATAAAAATCATGTCATACCATTTAATTATTTAAATATAGTATCATTTGATGCCTCTCCACTTGTCATTATTCTTTTAAAATTTTTTTAGCTCTTCTATTTGTGACATTCTTGCTGAAAAGACAGAACAGAGCTACTAAAATCTGGATTGTCTATAATTTAGGGGTGTACATGATCGGGTTGGTTCGGGTTTTTTAAATATCAAATTAAACTATTTGTGTAAAAAATTTAAATTTATAAACCAAACCAAACTAATAAAATTCGGATTTTTTCAGGTTTTTCAACCTCAGGTTGGTTCAGGTTTTTCAAATACCAAACCAAACCATTTGTGTCAAATTTTTAAATTTATAAATCAAACCAAACTAATAAACCTCGGATTTTTTCAGATTTTTTGGATTTTTTTCGGTAAAGTTTGCATACAAACATATAATTAACTTGTGCTCCAAATATTTCTTTAGTCCAACCAAAATACAATATATTATCAAAGGTGTTTCTTAAAAAAATAACACAAAATATGAGATGGGTACTAATGACACAAAAATATTCAATTAAAGATAATAATGAAATCATCATATAAAATAAATATTGCAAAGTCATAATGAAAATGATCATAATTTAAAAGTACTAAATCATGCTAAAATAAATTTAATAAGTATTAGTTACATTATTAAATATTTAAGGAAAATTAAAATTAGATTATGTATTTTAATTGTCTAAACCAATGTAAACTAAAGAACAAATATTCAATATTATTGTCATTCTTAGTGTTGAATTGATTTTCTTTTGCATTAGTATTAATTTGATTTTGATTTAAGTTTTATTAGAATTATCAACATCTATGAACTATAATCTTTATTGGACCACTCCGAATTCTAAGTTTTAAATTTGAAATAATATATTAAAAGATAAAAACTATGAAATAGTATAAGAAATATTTAAAATTATATCAAAGTATATATTTTTATGTGTAAAATAAAATTTTAAAATTACATATATAATGTCGGGTTGGTTTTGGTCTCGGGTTGTTTTTTTTTTAGTAAAACCAAACCAACCCAAATATAGTCGGGGTTTTTTTCCAATACCAAACCAAGTCAAACCAAACCACTAGTCGGATATTTTTTTGGTTTAACTCGATTTGCGATTTGGTTCGGTTTTCGGTTCGGTTTTGTACACCCAGTCTATATGATAGAGAAATCTTGACTGATTTAAAATAATATTATTTTTTTTAAAAAAAGTTGTGTTTTTAAATTAAATATTCGTAGAAGATACTAAATTATCGTTTAATTTTGTAATCTTAGACATGTAATGTGAAAATCTGAAATTAAAAAGGGCGGGGACACACATCAATGTGTGTGTATTATTAAGTTGGAAATTGCGTGTAAGATTTATATTTGATGAGATATCTGGCCACGGCTTTTCCTTATTTGCCATATATCTAATTTTGATAAATTCTCCCCCTAATTGTTGATTATCTAATTATTGTTGTTGGCTGTTGACTTTTCTAATATTGTTAATTTGGATTTTCTACTATTAAGATCGGTTTAATGAAGATTCGATCATGTGATACTGAAGAAAAAGGTAAGAAGAAAATTCGTGATGTAATTGATGAGATATTTCTATAATTCAATCTTAATCAGAGTTTTGGATTCAATTTTAAAAATAACAACTTTTCTAATTACACATGTTTTTTTAAGAAATACGTACGCAACGTGAATCTTGAGTATATGAATTTCAACTATCACATTTTTAAACAAACCAAAAAAAATTGGGGCCTTTTGTTTTCTTCTTTGAATATATTAAGAAAATGAAATATTTTGACTAAAACCAATTTGATATTAGCCTAACAAAATGGAGAAATGAAAATTTTCAAATATAAGAAAAGAAAAATAGAAAAAGAAGCTTAACTGCAAATAATGTTGATTAATGATTAACATATACTTGTTCTCAAATTTAATTAAACCAACTTGGAATATTATGCATACAATTTTCAATCACTATCAATTTCCTTTGCTGAAATAATGTTTTCATTTTTGTCTTCACTTGCTAAATAATCTATTGGATATAAAATATCATTTCCAATCATAGAGGATATGAACAGATATCTACATATCAATTAAAACTGAATAATATTTTTTTTAGATATTTTAATTTTTGTTAAAAGAAATCGTTCACGTCTCTTTGGGCTTTTAAAAAAAAATTATTATAGAAATTTTATATTTTCAATTTTTACCTTAAACCTAAATTCAATTATGAGAAATGAATACATAAAGACGGTTTTTTAAGCATTAGAGTTAGAAAATTAATCAAGTAAAATATACAAAGGTGGGAGAATTAATACTCTTATTTTTAGTGATTTAAATGGAAAATTATGAAATAACTTTCTTACGTGTTACACTTTATATAGAAAAATTTAAGGGAAAAAAAACATATAATGATACAATTTTCTTTTCCGATAATCATCATGTCTGAGCTAGCTAGCTTGCAAGCACTTTGACTATTTTCATGAGATATCTATCATCTCTCCAACAAGAGGTGTCAGGAATATAATGTGCGAGCAAGCTTGCATGCACCTTGACTAACTGACCAAACAAGAGATGCTAGGAATATGATATGCAAGCGATCTTCCATACACCTTAACTAATTTCACTCTACCTATCATCTCTCCTAGCAAGAGGTGCTAGGAATATAATGATCCAATCTTCTTGAGATAAAAAGGAGAAGATGTGTATGTATAAATAGGAAAAAAATCTATTTTTTCACACAAAGTTAAAAAGAGGAATATAATATCCACACTGAATAAATATAGAAAGCATAGCATTAAAGTATATTTTCCTTAAACAAAGGCATAGGTAACTAAAGTCCAATCATTTTTTTAGATCCCAAAACAGATTTCATTTTCTTTTTTTAGAGACAATGATATTTTATTGTGCAAGCCACATGGTTCCACCTTTTGCTTTTAAAACTTAAATTTTTTATTTGAACATGACAAAAAATAAAATAATAATAATAAAAAAGGAGGTTCAAAGCTTCAATTGATAAAAATAAGTCAAGAATTTTTATTCCTTTTTTCATAAATAAAAATGATGACATGAATTAATTAAATAAAAATACTCTTAAGAGAAAAAAAAGTTTAACCCTTTATCTTTTCTTTTTAAAGTTTAGAGCAAGCCAAGAATATTTGAAAAAAGAAAATTCCATGAATTAACGAATTTGATTAACTTGATTTGACTAATTTCTCTCTCCTTTATTAGCTAAAATAATATAGGGAAGATATGATGACAATAAGATTCATGAAAAGGAAATATATTTATATGGATAGTACATTATTTAATAAAATAGACTTACTCACATTTAACTTCTTTATTAAATTAGTACATAAATTTATTATAACGCGATAAAATTATTACATTCTCAACTTAATCTATAACTCTTAATATTAAATTATTTGATTTGGTATAAATATAAATTTTGACCGTAAAATAACTTTACTAAATATATAATGCATATATTACCTATGTTGATATAAACATTACATGTGTGGATAAATACTTATATGAATAAACTTTTTTCCCCGACTCCCTCAACTGACATAAACAAAGTTTTAAGCTAAATTGGCTTAATTTATTTTTAAGTATTGTGATATTATTCATTCCTAAATAAGCATATAAGTTTTTTTCTTCTTCAAAATATCTTTTATATTATGAGTATTCAATAATCGTAGACGATCACAAACGAATAGTTATATCAATTATTGGACTAATAATATATTAACATGGTCTAAGATTATCCACGTTAATTAAATCATCTAGAACTTTACTACTTTTTGCAAAAATCTTGACTATTAAAAATATCTAATATCTGTAAATAATTATTTTTCTATTTATCACGTGAATTTTACTTTCACATAAGATATTCTTAACTTTATAATTTGAGAGAATTCAAAATAAGAGGCTCACATCATTTTTTTCAAACTTTTTGTTCTCTCTTGTGAAAAAAATTTAGACTAATTTTTTAATCTATAATAAAATTAGGAACCCATTTCTCCCATTAGTTGTTTCATATCTTCCGTTTAAATTACTTTTTTTTTCATTTCAATTTATTAGACATATTTTGATTTAAAATGAGGTTTTGAAAAATATTTCTTTTTGAGATTTTTAATTAAATTATATCAAATATATTAAAATATATATCATTTGATCTTATAATTTTAAACATGTGATATGAGAGGTTAGAATTAAAAAAATTACGCAAAAAAAGAAAAAAATATTTCTTTCCAACACGAAAAAGTATTATTCGAAAAATATGCCGAACAAATTGAAATAAGAAACGGTACAATATAGTACTAATATGTCCTCTATAATTTCCTTGAATTTAGGCAGAACAATCAAACTCTTAACTCTTACTCCAGTTATTTACTCTACCATTTTTCATGCATAAACAAGAATCGAAATCGATAATTGAGCGGTAAAATATGGTGCAATTTTCAGAGAAATTCAGGGGATTTTTGAACGATCGATGGCTAGTTTTTGTAGCTTCGATGTGGGTTCAATCTTGTTCTGGAATTGGGTATCTGTTTGGAAGCATATCTCCAGTGATCAAGAGTGGTATGGGTTATAACCAGAGGCAAATTGCCTTATTGGGTGTAGCTAAGGATTTGGGTGATGCCATTGGGTTTCTCGCTGGTATTTTGTGTGAAGTTTTGCCTATTTGGGCTGTTCTGTTTATTGGGGTTGTTCAGAATTTTGTTGGGTATGGTGTTGTTTGGCTGATTGTTGCTCACAAATTGCCTGCTTTGCCTCTTTGGGTGGTCAGTTCACTTTTCTTTGATTACTTATCTGTTTTCAGCTTTATTGAATTTTGCACTTTGTTTGCTGTGATCTGAAATTTGAGCTCTTACATTTCCTAGTGGACAGAGTGATTAACAGTGGCGAAGCTAGAAATTTCATTTAGGATGTTCGAGATTTAGTATATATGAATCAAAAATATTTTTGAGTTGAATAATTTTCTCCGTGTGACTATAGGACCAATTGTTTTGCAAATTAGCTTTGAATCAGCAGAAGGCTCTCCAGTGGAGATAATTGACATCATTACTTGCCTCCAAAAAATGGATTTCATGTATTATTAATTCTTTGGGTTGAGGGAAATTGCAATTTCATGTATGCTAAATTGCTAATAAAAGTTTTACCTAAAAAATGAAACAAGTCCTGAAGAGTAGAGAAAATAATCATGAGAAAAACTTGCAATTTTTAAGGTTTCTCCACTAGCAATATCTCTACGGACATTCGGGAGAATATCCGAACTTCTGGATTTTGTATTATTGGACATTCAGAAGATGCATGATATTTTGTATTAGTGGACATCAAACTTCTGGATTTTGACTTGTAGTTCTCGATAACTTCAAAATGAGCAGAATATCATTATACATGTTGATCAAGTTCTGATTATATATTTAATCTCAAAGTCAAGTTCCCATGGTAATCGTTTCTGTCACTTCCTGATCTCCCCTCCTTTCCCCTCGTAGAAAATGGTAATCAAAGAAGGAAGCTAGATATCTTTCTCTTCTTTAAGTCATTTCCAATGGATTTGACATGATAGTTTTCTTTGAGAACTTTAATACCAAGGGTGAACAGGAAGGAGCTAAGCTGAGAAGTTACTGCTGGATTTGGTTATTTTTATCCTCAGTGATCGTGCATCTGCTTTCCTGGTGCTTTTACTGTATTACCCAGGATATATCATTTCATAACCTGCCAAATGCGGTTGAACTTTTTGAAATTTATGGCTTCTTAAAAAGTAACTTCTCTTTTGTTTTGATGGAGGGATTCCGTTTCTTCTCCCCTTTCTCCAAATATAATTACGAGTGAAGCCTATAATGGCTCTGAATTTCTCTTTTTGTAGCTTTTGGATTGATAATAGAACTTTCGTTAGTGATTTTCTTTTGTCTGTGAGATATGGCCATGAAATAGTGACACAACTACTTGTTCAGTGTCTTGAGATGTTCAGTTCAGATTAGAAATTACTGTCCAACCAACCAGGCACATTAATATAGCAGACATCATTTAATCACCAGCTGCTAGCTACACGTGTTCCTTGGTTTATGATTTACTTGAGCTCTTAATTTCAATCTACAGACAGATCGCCTGAACCACCAATCATAATGATTAGGTAGATGCATCTGAAGCACTGATTTCTGTTCATCACTTCCCCCAGAGACCTAAATTCATGGTGTCCAACTGGAGTGCAGCAATGGGCAACAAAAATAATTAGGCGGATGAGATTTAACTAGATAAGATCAAAGCATTGTATCCGGTCACAGTCCTACATCTATTGCCAGAGAGTTGTGTTAACATATGGCAATAAACTAATAAATGCCATGTTTCCAGAAAATAACTTATTGCAGGTACCGAAAGAGCAGGAGAGAACTAGAAGGTCTTACATACGTTCCACGACGAATTAAAGAAGTTGTCTTTACATCAGTTATTGCTTAAAAAATCTGCCTAGCTTAATATTCTGTTTTGATCCCAAGTTATTGTCTATGTGATGACAATGTATGAGCTCCCCATTTTGCTGTAGCGTTTTTATTCTTTGTTCTGGAAGATCCTTACAAAGTTTAGGCCTGGAAAAATATTTGACATGTAACGTATTGGGCCTAGAAAAATATTTGACATGTAACTCACTTATGGATGTGCTCCATACATTCTTGGGGATTTGCTACCATGTGCTATCCAACATGGAGCAATACTGTAAACAGTTCTGTCCCGAAAAGCATGCATGGGAGCAACTTGTATAAGAGTTGCCAAAGTAAATTTAGAAAATTCACTGCCTATTTGGGCTTCGGTAGATGGAAAATAATCACTTAACTTTTCAATTGTTCAATTTGTAAGCTAAGAAATGCTTAAATATGATTTCTTACATGAAACCAATCAAAACATGTTCAGTGTACTTAATAAAAAAACATGCTCAATGTTTACGAAAGGTTGGGTTCCCTTTGATCCTGGATGTATTGCCACAATTCTGCAGTTTCCTCTCCCTCTCTCTCTCTTTGTTTTTTTATAATGCAACAGTTCGCTCTTTTGTAATATTTTATTAATTGAGGATTTTCTGTTTTTGCAGCTTTGCGTTTTAATATTTATTGGGACTAATGGTGAGACATACTTCAATACAGGAGCCTTAGTTTCCTGTGTACAGAATTTTCCTAAAAGCCGTGGTCCAATAGTGGGGATACTTAAAGGATTTGCTGGGCTAAGTGGTGCAATTTTGACACAAGTTTATGCTATGTTCAACTTTCCTGATCAAGCATCCCTTGTTTTCATGGTTGCTGTTGGGCCATCAATTGTAATTACCGCTGTGATGTTCTTGGTTAGACCTGTAGGTGGTCACAAACAAGTTAGACCTTCAGATCATTCGAGCTTCCTATTTATCTACAGCATTTGCGTTATCCTGGCAGCTTATCTGTTGGCAGTTTTGCTTCTTCAGGATTTAAGCAGTCTAAATGAGAATGTGGTAATCTTTTTGACAATTGTCTTACTTATTTTAATAGTGCTTCCGATTATTATTCCTATTTTTTTGGTTTTCTTCTCTGAACCAAGGCCGGTTTTGGAGGAGAGCCTTCTTCCTGAGCCAGAGAAACAAGAATCCTCTAGAATGGGGAGTTTCATTCTCAGCCTCAGCGAGGTAGAAGATGAGAGGTCTTCTGAGGAAGACACACTCCCATCATCAGAAAGACAAAAGAGAATTGCGCACTTGCAAGCTAAACTATACCAAGCAGCAGCAGAAGGAGCAGTTAGAGTCAAGCGGAGAAAAGGTCCACGCAGAGGAGAGGATTTCACTTTACTTCAGGCTCTAGTAAAGGCAGACTTTTGGCTTATTTTTCTCTCCCTAGTTCTAGCATCTGGTTCTGGTTTGACAGTGATTGATAATCTGGGTCAGATGTCTCAGTCGTTAGGTTATTCTAACACCCACATATTTGTTTCAATGATAAGCATTTGGAACTTTCTTGGTCGTGTTGCTGGTGGATACTTCTCTGAGAATATAGTAAAGTATGTTTCCAAGTTCCTAATTACCAATACAGTTTCTTCCTTATGGAAGCATTTTTTTCTGATGTTTTAACTTGTTTATAATGATTATCAGATACTATGCATACCCAAGACCTGTGGCAATGGCTGCAGTTCAAGTTGTTATGGCATTTGCTCTTTTCTTCTATGCTATGGGGTGGCCTGGTTCAATATATGTGGTTTCTGTGTTGATAGGACTCTGCTATGGAGCACACTGGGCTATTGTACCAGCTGCAGTCTCAGAACTTTTTGGATTGAAAAGCTTTGGTGCATTGTATAACTTCCTTACATTGGCTAGTCCAGCTGGTTCACTGATATTTTCTGGTGTTATTGCTAGTGGTATATATGACTATCAGGCAAAGCAGCAACATGAACATCGGATTCAAAGTTCCGGACTGGGTCTGGGAGTACCTCTCGTTGTTAAGGATGACTTTCTTACTTGTTATGGTTCCATATGCTATTCACTCACAATGGGCATCATGTCAGGACTCTGCATCATTGCATTTATCTTGAGTATGATTGTTGTGCATCGAACGAAGAGGGTTTATGCACAACTCTATGGCAAGCCTCTAGCTTGAAGGGTATTCAACTTAAGACACTCTGCAGTTTATATCATTCAAATGTATCCTCATTCCTTGGCAGATTACTCAAGCGATTTTGAGGAAAGAGAAGGCATCACAGATATAATCTGCATGTACACGCCCCCGGAAACTGAAGCCTTTGTCATGTCTCTTTGTTTATAAACTATTTTAGAGTGTTCTTGACAAACACAATTTTTAGATTGCCAGTGAACCTTATTATTCCTTCATGTAATACAGTGTATGAAGCCTTTTAAACATAAAGTGTTTTTGTTTTGCTGGAGATACCAGTCATTTGTAATTCTTGATCATATGTTATGATCACTATTTGTGGTACAATGTTAAATTTTTGAAGAAATGGAGGATGTGTTTGTTCTTTCATCTTCCTTACAAGCCTTGTCTGCTTCTGTCATACGGGCATCTACACCGTCCTTCTTTGATATTCTAATCAAACGGAATGTGTAAAGAGATAGTAGCTTTAAAATTCATCAGTGTAGAGAGTTATGCAAAAGACAAATGTTAGTCGGTTTGTTGATCACGCAAACTCAAAAGCATGAGATAGTGATAAGGATCTTGTAACTGAAAGTTTTGAGTTTTGTTTTTGGACATAATGTGTGAAAAGGTGATTTTCACTTAAATGTAACACAAAGTAAGTTCATGCAAAACGAAACACATACAATCGATGACCAAAACAAATAGGACACCCCTTGACGAAAGATTACAATTAATGTTCATATCCCAAAATACTTTTTTGTAAATAGTTTAACCATGGTTAAAAACTAACCATGGTGAGAGGTTTAAACCTCATTATTAACCCCCCAAGTACAAACAAAATACAAATAAATAGACCATGCCAAAAGCCAAACCTGAAAAATGTACTCTACTTAAATTCAGGAAAAACAAAACCTTTTTCTTTCTCCTCTCTTTGCCGAAGAAATGGTTTTCTACTTTACCAGCCAACAAATTTCTCTAGGGTTTTCGAAATTCTGAATTGATCAATACTCTCTATAGCTTCCAACGGTAGAAAGATTGTTTTTTTGACAACGATTCACTGTATTCGGTTCAACATTGCTTCGTTTTTGTAGGTATACTTCATTTAATCAAATGCTTCGTTGTTTTTATGCATGGTTGCATTCAGATTGTTGCAACTGATTTCTGCATTTCCGTTTATGAGGAAGATGATTTCTGCATCGATTTATGTGTACTTACATGTTGTATATATGTATCTCTGTGTTTGTGTGCAATTTTAGAAATAACCCTTGTTTTAGTTTTTTTAAGCGGTGGTGAGTGTAGATGACTTTGGAATATGAGGGGTTCAGTTATCTTGCTGAATTAATGTTGACTGAAGGCTTTGAAATTTTTATATGGATTCCTCTAATTAATAAGTAGATTCTTAAAGTCTATCTGAGTTGAGTACTTTTGGTTTTTGAAGCTTTGATAGTGGGATTCTTTCTAGATTCTGTGGTGAATGTTTTTACAAAGAAGGGAAAAAGTGCTATTTTTGAAGTGTATGATCTGAAATTCTGTAACGTCTGTATAAGCAAGTAGAATTTCAGAATCATAAAAGGAAGCTTGTGTTTTTTGTCTGAAAAAAATGGATCACATGAGAAATCTGAATAAATGAACTTTATTAGTACATATGGTACTTTGACGGTGGAATGAGCATGAAGAGATGTATTTGTGGTTTTATAACCTATTCAATTACTATTAATATGCTTAGAGAAACTTGAATGATATTCAGAATTGCTTTTCACGCCATTGTAATTTAGGTTTTCAAAAGGTTGGTAATTCAGCTTATTAGTTTCCCATGATTGTTTGACCAGTTTCCTTTAGATTTCGGCACATGATGCATGGGTTCTTGTTTGTGCTTTTCTGGTGTTTATGGAAATTGTACAGTGCATTAATTCATGACATCCATGAAAAATGTAATCAAACCTATAGTTTCACATTCGATCTGGCTTGCTTTTTGTTTTTGAAGTCGTCGTTACTTTGTAGTACTTGTACCCTTTTTTCTTTTATGGTATTATTTCTGGCTTTTAAGTTTGCAGTTTTTGTGACTTGCATTTTGTAATGATTGTATTATAGGCTTTGAAGAGTCAAAGACAGTTCTTCTCCAGAGTATTTGTGTGAAATAAACTTCACACACTAACCAGGGTGTCGAGTGTTGCTCCATTTGCTGGTTGAATCTGAGGGAGACAATAACATTTGCTCTTTGTGGTCTGCCAAAGTTGTAGGCAAATGGAATGTAACAAAGATGAAGCTGTCCGGGCCAAAGAAATTGCTGAGCAGAAATTAACCGAGAAGGACATTGCTGGAGCTCAAAAATTTGCTTTGAAGGCTCAAAATCTGTTTCCAGGCCTTGATGGTCTTTCTCAGTTCCTGGAAGTGGTCAATGTGTATGTTGCTCATGAGAAGAAGACTGATGGTGAAGTGAATTTTTACAGCGTCCTTTCTGTAGAGCCCTCAGCTGATGAAGAAACTATAAGGAAACACTACAGAAGGCTTGCTCTAGCTCTTCACCCTGATAAAAATCATTCTGTTGGGGCAGATGGGGCGTTTAAGATTATATCTGAAGCATGGAACTTGTTGTCTGATAAAAGCAAAAGAATGATGTATGACAGTAAGCGTGCTTTGAGGAATGCATCCATGCAAGCCAACCAGCACGGATTTCGTAATTTCTCCATGAGCCCAGCAAGTGCAAGAAACTCAACAAATGCTAATTTCCAGCCCGTTCCGGTGGCTCCCCAGCCATCAAAAGTTGAGTCATTCTGGACATTGTGCAATCTATGCCAGATACGGTATGAATATTTAAAGATTCACCGAAACAAAATTATTATGTGCCCCAAATGTCACCAGTCTTTTCATGCAAGGGAGGTAGGTGCTCCTGTGAAAGATCAAGGTTCATCTTTTCCATGGCCTTCCCGCCAGCAGCAGCAGGGTACAAACCCTGCTGCTAATGAATCTTCTGCTTCAGGTGTCTCTACAGCATCAAATTCAGTACAAAGTGGATATTCTGGCTTTGGCTCAACAGTTAGGGTAAAAACTCAGCAGGATCAAATTTTTAAGAAGAGAGATGCAAATGGTGCGCAGCGCTATGCCACTACAGCTAAGCAAGCTGCACACCCTGGTCAGCCAGCTGGTGGAATCTCGAAGAGAACTCATGCAGAAGTGGCTTCAAGTGCACCGAACCCAGCTTTTCTGAAGAAAAGCAATCCATTCTTGAAAACTGATGCAGGTTTTGTTCCTGATTCAGTTTCTTCTAGTTCTAAAGCTGACAGGCTAATAAAAAAGAGACGCACAGCTGAGTTGAAGTCTAAATTTCAAGGTGCAGGAATGATAAATGATATGGCTGCAAAAGGTGGATCTAGCCAAGGAAACATACATGGAAATGAGAATGGTGTTTTGAGAGCTGAGAGGGTTGCTGCTGTGGGAAGTAACAAACCTAGGAGTTCAACGGAGTTATCCAATTTAGAAATTCGCAATATGCTGATGAAAAAGGCAAGGATGGAGATCAACAAGAAGCTGAAAGAATGGAGCACAACTGCTGCTTCTCGAACTTCATCTAAGAAGGAAAAAGAAGTAGAAATGAAGAAGCAAATTATCAAAAATGATCTGAGAAGGAATAAAACTGCTCATGATGTTGTGATGGATTCCAAAATATTACGCAAGCAGGAAAATTTGCCCGTCTTTAGTGCTCCTACTGACTTAGGATCAGAAGCTAAGTCAATGACTGTTCCGGATCCGGACTTCCATAATTTTGACAAGGATAGAACGGAACAATCTTTTCATGATAAACAAGTATGGGCTGCTTATGATAATGATGATGGTATGACACGTTATTATGCTTTGATTCACAAAGTGATATCTAGAAAGCCATTTAAAGTGCAATTGAGCTGGCTGAACTCCAGAAACACCTCTGAACTCGGCCCAATGAATTGGATTGGTTCAGGCTTCCTCAAGACCTGTGGAAATTTCAGGATAGGCAGACATGAAGTCAATATGACGCTCAATTCTTTCTCCCACAAGGTCAAGTGGGTGAAAGGGGCGGGAGGTGTCATTCAAATTTTCCCCAGAAAGGGGGATGTTTGGGCGCTGTACAGGCATTGGTCTCCTCAATGGAATGAGCTTACTCCTGATGATATGATACACAATTATGATATGGTGGAAGTGCTTGGCGACTACACTGAGAAGGAAGGTGTCACAGTTGCTCCATTAGTCAAAGTAGCTGGCTTTACGTCAGTATTCCATCAGCATTTGGACCCTAAATATCTTCTCCATATTCCAAGGGAAGAGATGTTTCGCTTCTCTCATCAGGTCCCTTCATATTTGCTCACAGACCAAGAAGCTCCAAATGCTCCCACTGGTTGCTGGGAGTTGGATCCTGCGGCCCTGCCCTTAGAATTTCTTAGAGTCATGACAGACACTGAAATAGAGGCTCGCGGAAAAGTTGCAGATACTTCAAAGTTGGAAAGGACATGTGGTGAAAGCAAAGAGAAGGAGAAGTCCTATGTGGTTGGTGACAACAGTGCGACAAAGGGCGAAGAGACTCCCAGAGATTCCATGAGCGTTGTCAAACAACCCATGGTGACATATTCAAGAAAGAAGAAGGAGAAGGCAGAAGCAAGTACCATTGAAACCAAGAGAGAGAAAAGCTAGGTTGCTGCTAAAGGATTCTAGCCAATGATCAAGTAATTTTGGTGCTTTCTGTAGTTTCAGCTCGAACCTCCTTGTTTGATTGCTAATGATAGAGTAGTATAGATAAGAAGACAATCTAGTACCCAAGTGAACATTTGGCCTTGATTTTTTGTGCTTCTATAGGTTTTCCAGATCAAGAAAGAGCTATACTGTAAAAAACCAGAATCATACTGTATATTTCAAGTTTTTTTCTTAAGTAACTTCTGGATAATAAATTTTCTTAACCATCTTATGTTTACAATTTCTTTCCTTTTCCTGTTTCTTTTTAGTGTATTTAATGGGCTATGGGCGCTGTTCTTGTGAAGGTGCACTACAGGGATCTCAAACCACTTTCAACATAGAGTGTTAATCATTTCTCCGTTTTTGCCATAGTCCAAATGATTTCTTTTCTTTTGTCTTTCTTCCTATTTTATAACTTCAGCTTCTTAGCTTTTCTTATTTCTGGTTCTTATATTTCTGCATTGGGCATAGAGCTAGCCCATAAATCAACCACTCTTGCATGCAGACTCATTACTGAATCCAGAGATCGTTTACCTGTATATAGAAGTGTGATTCCTGTAAGTCTATAAGTTGTGTGATTCAGTAGTTCTTGTTACTTGCTTATCGTCTATGAATTTGAAGTGCGATATTGGTAGAAATAGAGCCCACTGGTCATATTTTGGCTTTGTTTTTTTTTAAATAGTCATTTTCTAATCCTGAAGTTTGACGTGTGAATTTATCATGGGCTTAGGAAGAAATGACTTTCAAAGTGGGATCACTGCATACCGTGGAAGAAAATCCTGCTATAAAAAGATTTGAATATTTAATTCCTTTCTTGAAAGACTTGAATATTAAATAAAAGTGTCATTGCAACTCCATTAATTGAAATAATAATTTGGGAGTTATTCTCCATCAACTTGCTTCTTTAGTTGACCCAATTATTCTCCTTTCCTGAACCCTGAGTCATGAAGTACATATAACACAAATATTGTGTTAAAAGCAGTTAATGTATCATTTAATTCAGAAAGAAATCCAAATATTGCTCATGAGCGTGTGTGTATTATATGTATATAAACATATGGAGTAATTCATAAGATTCATCTACTTGACGTTGATGGATACACAAGGGCAGGCATATAGGCAGAGTATATAGAAAAGAACATGATGAAGCACATATTGAAGGTTTTTGATAAACTTTTATCATTTTCTCGTAATCAGCTTATAAAAGTTTTGTTGTCCCTGCTTTATTTTTTGGGTGTAACAATAGATTATATGGTCCTAAGGTTTTTCTTTTTCTTTTTAGAAGTTGAGACTTTGAACATTCTTTTTGGGTCTTCAGTGTAACAAGCTTGCAAAATTCAAAGAAAAAATAAATCTCAAGTCTTGAAACATACTTCTTGCAAGAGGACCCCCTCTCATTTCATTGTAAACTGAAAAACATATAAAATGGAAAGAGAGATGAAGAGAAAAGGGAGGGGTCCAAGAAAAAGCTCATAAATATGAAGTTTGAAGATGCAAAAGGGCTTCATGTTCAAAGATATTTCTTAGAAGCTTTAAATTTTGGTCATTGTTTCTTATATATGTAATAAGTGTAAGAATCCACACGATGCATGAACGATGTTAAAGAATATCGATCGTAGTTAATTAAATTGTAGTCTGACTCATTTGAGCATATTATTTTTGTAAATTTTCAATTGTTTCTCTATACTAATAATCAGTGGATCCATCTGGATTGGGAGATTCAATGATGCCTCCAGGTTCTTAGAATGTATTTTTCTTGTTTTGGCACAGGTTGATCATGTCTATGATTTCTATTTCAAGGAATTTCCGTAGATGATGATTTGGACCTCTTGCATATTTTCAATTCATCCAGTATCTTGTTGTAATCTGCAATGGTGAGCTTTCTTGTGAAGTCTCTATTAAAGCCGTCAAATGATTGAGTTCAACCTAATTTTTTCTTGTTCTAGCCCTGAATTTTCTATACTAGGTACGGTTCGAGTTGTTATGGCATTGCAGCCTGGCAGGTACCATCTTGGAATTAGATGGGTGGGTAAAGCGAGTATTATTTTTATGTTTGATGAAGTACACCAAGTTTGTTTTCTGTTGTGTAGATGATGAAGCAAAGCAAGCCTCCTTTCTTTTGTGCAGATTTTGCTTTGCTTTTATTTGCAAGTTTTCCCATCAGATTGCATACCCTCTACATGTTGAAGCTTTACCCAGACTTCTTTCATATGAAGTTTCTCAATTGGGCACCCTTAATTCTTGTGTTAATAGTGCGGTCTGTGGTCATCCGATTCAAGAAACTCTTTGATTTCAACTAGCGCATTTATCGTTCTGGAATCTGTAGTCACAATAGTGTTGAATTTTGCTGCCTGGATGAACATGATAAACATTCCTACTTTGTTTTTTTCTTTTGTTTATCAAGGATTGGTTTTCTTAACATAATGGAATAGGCAGTGTTCATTGTGGTAATACAATTATATATTGAATTTTGTCTCCAGTTACAAGGCTATCATTATCATTCTTTCAAGGTCGTTTTGGTGCTCCCTTCATGCAGATTGTCAACTTCTAGAATAGGGTGATTGGCTCTCTCTATTATTCTTCATGCTGGGTCATTTCGTATGGGGAGATGAGGTTCCTCCGAACTTTGCACTCATTACTAAGCCTTTCTTTCTGTGCTTGCAGTCGCAGGAACTTATATGTGAAGATGGTTTTTTTTTTTTGGTCACATTAAAGTATGAACTGCAGTTATTTTGTCAAGATGCTTATGCTCTTTGATCCCAGGCATGAAGTTGTCAGGGACTGCGGGGGATTGCTAATGTCTAAGCTGCTTTAATCTGTGAAGTTGTGGTACTGCTACTTTTGCCTGTGTTCCTTTATCTATCACTCTTAGATTGATTTAAGTTATGATTCAGGAATAGAACACATGGAAAGTTGATTGATGTTATTGGATGTGGATATGCACCTCTAGTTACAAGCTCTCAGAAAAGTTACATTTGCTGATTTAAAAGAGGAACAAATTAGAAGTCTTATCTGTTGGTCTGATAATTTTGGAAGTCTCATCTGTTGGTCTGACTTAGGGATGTCAATTTGAAGATGGTAGTAGGGAGTACTTGCAGGGACAATTCCTGTTGTCTTTCATTGCCCCTGGTAGTGGTTCGGAGCTTAACATTTTTGTTTTCCTTTGATGTCTAGTTTGTTATGATCTTCCTTCTTGAGGGTTGTGATGTGATTTTTCCTCTACATTGTGGGATATAGGTTATCCATTTGCAATTGGATCAATTGGTTTAGTGGAATTGTTTGGGTACTCAAGCATGAGTTCAGGTGTCGAAAAGTTATAAGTGTTACTTCCGGAGAGAGGTTTAGTCGTGTGATTATTTCTGTTCTGCTTGATAATTACAGATGTGATTGGTGAAGGTAGGGAATTTTGCACTGCTTGATCGCATTTGGAGTTCTTTATTTTGGGGTCAGTCATGGAGGAGATTTGTGATTATTTCTGTTCTGCTTGACAATAATAGATATGACTGGTGAAGGTATGAAATTTGGCATGGCTTGATCGCATTTGAGTTTCTTTTTGGGGTCCATCAGGTACATTAAGTTCATAGGTTTGTACATGCTGCTTCATCTTTTTTTTTTTTTTTTTTGTGAAAGTAATCTACCAATGTTTCTATTGATTTTACTATTGCTCTCTCTTATGTGGGGTTCCTTCCCAGGTGTGGTCTGAGTTGTTATGTATATGGATGCATGGGTGGGCATCTCGGATTTCGAATGCAGTTGCTCACGGAACCTTTTAGTGAGTCCATAGGTTCAATATTTATCGGAGCTTCCCCGAGACTGATGGCTTTTGAAGTCACCCCGATTGGTTAATAAAAATTTTCTTCTTTGTATCGCAGTGCTGCTTTACTTTCCTCCAGAAGTTCTTCAAATTCATATGAGCTTTTATCGATCATGACTCTGTAGTTGTTGAAGTCATATGCAATAATGCTGTAGCTACTTTTAGTCTTTCTGTTGTTTATCATGGCTTGGTTTTTGATGAATAAGGTGCACGTGGGTCTAATGAATTTAGTTACTGCAGTTTGTCTTTGGTTTTACTACAAAATCAGGTGATTCTCTCTCTGGTCTCTTTATGTAATTATTTCCTAGATGGCATAATAAGGAGCTCTCAGAATCTCAGACTAGTAACTTCGCTTCCTTTATGGTCAGATAGGTTTCTCTCTTTAGTCTCTTTACGTCTGATGATTTTCTGGTTGATTAGGTTGTGCGAACTTCAGTATCCATAACTGGACCAAGTCTGTAGTTCACTGTTTCTTTCTACTTCTGGGATTGCCATGTCATGTTTTTCGCTCGTCTTACAAGGTATGGTTTACCCATTTTGCAGTCTTTCAATCAGCTGGTCCAGCTTGCCCTTTTGGAAATGGAGATTCAAGCATGAATCAGGTTTCAGGAGTTTCAAGTGTTCGCTCTGGTGGGAAGGTTCAATCATGTGATTATCTTCTTGATGATCATACGTAACAACTTGATCTCGTGTGGAATACCTAGTTCAATCATGGATGTGTTTCTGACTTCAACCTCTTTCAGTACTTTAACTTATATGGTCTCGTAATTTCGATTTGAGATAGTGACGTCACATATTTGGCTATGGGACAAGGATTGGATCATTGTTTATTTACACTTGGTGATCATCTAATTAATGAGTCTGAGAAGCTTACCTTGTGTTCTTTTCAGGTTATGTTACAGCTTGTTAGCCCGATGCTGGAAATAGAAACAGTATCGAATGAAAGTTGGTTGACTCTCCACACAGTAAAAGCATTTCATTTGGATATTTGGGTGAGTAGAAATGGTGCTTTTGAGTTTGAGTAAGAGCACTTAGCTTCCCTTAGTACAAGTACTAACATCCAAATACTTTGTGTTTCATATATTTTTCAAGAATTGCTCAAGAACGCTGAAGAGGAAGAATTTCTAGGGTTTCTTCAAAAGGTAATTTCTAGCCTTTTCCTTTTAACTATGATGAACATATGTGTATTATGAAGGTATTTTAGAAGTTGAAAATAGTAGCATTTGGGATAGAAGATAATGAATAGTAAAGTATTTTAATCGAGAATATCTTTTTATCATTAAAAAATATTTCGCGAAAACCATAGTCATTATCGCTTGTCTATAGAAACACCTTATTGTAAAATTTCCCCACAGTATCCGGTGAAGTGGCCTCATGACCAGACGATGGTCATATATGTGAGAAAATAGCCAAATGACCCCCCAACCTATTGTCCGATTCCCAACTATACACTTATACTTTACGGCGATTCTATTACCCCCTTGAACTACTTTATGACGATATAAATATCACCCTAAAACTATACACCCACATTCATAACCTGAAGTGGTGGACACACACTGCCAGCTGTCAGACATATATAATAATTTTAAAAAAAAACTTTTTTTAGATTCTTCTTTCATCTTTATTCTGTTTTACCTCTTTTCTTTTTCTCTTAAAATTTGTAATCTATATATATATATATATATATATATATATATATATATATATATATATATAAAATTGATCCTTCAAACTATAGATTTCTATAATACTTGCCATAAATCTTCAATTGTTTTCTTGGCTTTATTAATTTCTTAAAATTTGAAGAAAAAAAAACTATTGTTCTTCATTGTGTTCATTGAATTTGTGCAAATCTTGGAAGTTTGTGAATGTGATTGGGTTTGGTGTATTGAATCTACACATTACTTGTTAATTGATTTCGAATTAGGTGTGAAGATTTAAGCCAAAAATCAGAAAACCACACTGACCTACAAAGCTGTCAAAATAAATAAAAAATTGTGGGTTGCTGGGTTTGAATCCAAATCTGAAAATTTTCATTTTCAATTACAAATTGTAGAGACTAAATTGAATCCTTTATGGGAATCCCATTGTTGAGTTCTTGAGTTTGAAAACATTTAGATCAATTGATTTGAGTTAAAGAAAAAAATTGACAAATAAGAGGAAATACAAATCCATGGACAATCATTATTAAAGAGCTTCGAAGCTCAAGAATAAATTTTCAAATTTGTCCGTGAGTTCATCTTTTCCGGTGATTATTTCTTCCTCATCGCTGGCTCGTTCGATGAGTTTTTCTGTCAAATATTAGGATTTATCATCTATCAGAGATCGGAATGTTGGGACTGCTATCTTCTTCTCCCATAGAAGTGAAAGAGAAAGTAATTCCCTCCATTAAAAGGGGTAATTTTTCTTATAAAAACAAATAAATAAAAAGGAAAAAAAAGAAAAAAATACAATTTAATTATAATAAAAATGTTCTTTTTAATTGTTTTTTTGCTTCTCACTCTCTCAAAGAGAGTGAAATGCACTCTCTATGCCATGTCAGCACTTAAGGGGTTACTTGATCGGTTTAAAATAGTTCAAGGGGGTAATAGGACCCCCGTAAAGAATAAGTGTGTAGTTGGAAATCCACTCATAGCTTGAGGGGGCATTTGGATGTTTTCTCCATATATGTCATTAAAACTTTACATCAAATTAGTTGAAAAAGTTAAGGTAAATGAAAACTAAGGACTTCATTCTTGAAAAGGGAGGAAAACGAAAAACCTCATAAATAGTATTTTCAATTTGTTATTCAAAAAACAGAAAAGGAAGTTAGTTGATGGTATCTGAATATTTGTTTTTGCACCTTCACCAAAAAACCTATCTAAGTATTTGCACCTTCACCTAAAAAACAAGAACCTATGAATGTAGTTGGGTTCTTTTAGTAAGAAAGTCAAAGTTAACTAAATCTAAAATAGATTTTAGATATTATTAAGAAGTCACATATGAATTTCTATCTATTCAAGGAAGTATAATTATAGTCTGAAATTCAAAACTTTTCTCGGGGTGTGATTTGAAAGACCAAAGAAATTATAAGGAAGAAATTTAGTAAGGAAAATTACGGTTAATGTATATAGCCCAACTCTTTGTTCTGCAGGAACAAAACATGGTTAAAATCATATATCAATCATTAAAACTTAATTTACACTTGATTCATAATCATCAACTCAATGCTAACTTCATTGTCATAACCTTAGTTGGAAAAGTTAAGATAAATGAAAACCAAGGAATTTATTCTGGAAAAAGTAGGAAACGAAAAACCTCATAAATAGCAAAAAAATAGAAAAGGAAGTTAGTAATTGGTGACAAATATTAGTATTTGCACCTTCACCCAAAAACCAAGAATCAAAATCTTCGACACTAAATTATTTTCCTTATTTACTTGCTGTTCTTTTAATAAGAAAGTAAAAGTTAACTTTCATAAAAAAAGAAAGTAAAAGTTAACTAAATTTGAATATTTTTTAGATATTTTGATGAAGTCAAATATGAATTCCTATCTATTCAAGGAAGTATAATTTTATCGTTAGAAATTCAAAAAAATTCTCAGGATGGGATTTAAAAGATCGAAGAATGTAAAAGGAAGAAAATTTAGCAAGGAAAATTATAGTTAATGTTTATAGCCCAACTATCGGTTCAGCAGTAGCAAAACTTGGCTAAATCATATTTGTCATTAAAACTTTATGCCAGATTCTTAAGCATCAACTTCATTGTTTAGTATGTTAATTGAAAATGTTAGGGTAAATGAAAACTAAGGAATTCATTCTTGAAAAAGAAAAACTTCATAAATAGTACTTTCAATTTATATTCAAAAAAAGGAAACAGTTCGTAAATGGTGATCTGAATATTAGTATTTGTACCTTCACCAAAAAATAAAGAATCAAAATCTTCAAACTGAATATTTTTTCTTATTTACTTGCATTCTTATGGTCAGAAAGTCAAAGTTATCTAAAACTGAAATATATTTTAGATATTAAGCTGAAGTCAAATATAAATTCTTATCTAGTCAAGGAAGTACCATTATAGCTAGAAATTCAAACTAATCTCAAAATGTAATTTAGAATACAAGACAAAAGAAAACATAATGAAGAAAATTTAGCAAGGAAAATTAAGTTAATGTGTATAGCCAAAATAATATTTTGGAAAAGTATTATTAAATATTAACCATGGTACGGGTTTAACCTCTACTAAACCCCTCCTCCAACTATAAAAGGTGAAAATAAAGGGCTAGGCCAAACATGAAAAAAACACTTCACATTTAGGAAAACAAAGCCTTTTCTCCCCTTTTTTCTCTCTTTTTGAAACTTTATGCACCAAAACTGCAGATTCCTCTCGGGTTTGATCAACACTCTGAATAGCTAGAAGCAAAAGAAAGATATTTTTTCGGGTGGAAATTCAACAACTAGTCACTCTTTCCTTCCTTTAGTTTGCAGGTAAACTATATTTAATTAAATGTTTCTGCATTGCTTCATGCATGGCTTCATTCAAATTGTTGTAACTATTTTCTGCAGTTGTTCTTGTGAAGAAGATAATTTATGCATGAGTTTATATATACATGTTATATATATGTATGTGTATATGTGTATGTATGTGATCATGTATATAACCCTTTCTTTTTTCTGTTTATCTGTGTTGCTAAATGACTTTGGAATTCGAGGATTTTGTTATCTTGCTGAATTCATATCGAATACTTTTGGGTTTTGAAGCTTTGATTATGAGATTCTGTTCTAGATTTTGTGGTGAATGTTTTTACAAATGAGAAAAAGTGTCATTTTCGAAGCGTCTGATATGAAATTTTGAAACTTCTATAATCAAAAAATGGTATCTACTACTTTTCAGTTTTGAATGATTTAAGAATGAAGATTTAGGATGTCTCTCCGAGCTGTCGAATCTTTCTTTAGTTTTGGAGAAAATAATTTACATAGAAATTTTTATTTTTTTACAAAGCAATTACTATAGAGAATTTTTGGAGAAGGGTGATGATAGACGTTATTGCAAGTTCCTCTGTGCTATATCAATACCCCTATCTTCTTACTAATTAGGTTCAATTTCAGAATCTTTCATGAGTTCTTGTTTTTGCTTTTCTGGTGTTCGTGGAAATCGTATAGTGCATTAATTCATGACATCCATGGGTAATGTAATCAAACCTATAGTTTCACACTCAATCCTGCTTGCTTTTCGTTAAGTCGTTGTTACTTTGTGTTATTAGTACCCTTTTTTCTTTTGTGGTACTATTTTTGGCTTTCAAGTTTGTTGTTTTTGTGACTTGTATTTTTGTAATGTTTCTTTTCTAGGGTTTGAACAATCTAAGACAGTTCACGCAACAACCTGGTAGGCAAAATGGAATGTAACAAAGATGAAGCTGTCCGGGCCAAAGAAATTGCTGAGAAGAAATTAACCGAGAAGGACATTACTGGAGCTCTAAAATTTGCTTTGAAGGCTCAAAAGATGTATCCAGGCCTTGATGGTCTTTCTCAGTTTCTGGAAGTGGTCAATGTGTATGTTGCTCATGAGAAGAAAACTCGTGGTGAAGTGGATTTTTACGGTGTCCTTTCTCTGGAGCCCTCAGCTGATGATGAAGCAGTAAGGAAACAATACAAAAAGCTTGCTCTAGCTCTTCACCCTGATAAAAATAAATCCGTTGGGGCAGATGGGGCGTTTAAGATTGTATCTGAAGCATGGAGTGCATTGTATGATAGATCAAAAAGAATGATGTCTGACAAAAAACGTAAACCCATAACGACATATTCAAGAAAGAAGAAGAAGGCAGAAACAAGTACTCATTGAAACCAAGAGAGAAACTGCTGAGGGCTTCGGTTTGATTGCAATTGATAGACTAGTGTAGATGAAGAAGACAATGAAGGAGCTATTCTGTGAAAAAGAACTTGAATTATGTTTTTTTTTTTATGAAGCATGCATTTCCATTAATAAGCATCTAGAGTATGAAGCAAACTAAGTCTGTTTTCTTTTGTGTTGATGATTAAGCCGGCTAATATTTGCATAACTCTAACCAGTTATAAAACGACCCCTTACAATTTGACTCCCATTTGACCGAACTGTTTTGTTAGGACTGAATTCCTCAAGTTCTCAGCACAAAATCTCGTCTATGAAAAAATAGAAAAGGAAGTTAGTAGATGGTGTTCTGAAATTTTTAGTATTTGCACCTTTATAGAAAAACCTAGAAACAAAATGTGCAACATCACATTTTTTTCCCTTATTCACTTGCGTGTTCTTTTAGTAAGAAAGTTAAAATTAACTAAATTGAAAAAAGATTTAATATTACGTTGAAGTCAATATGATCGAATATCTATCTATACAAGGAATTATAATTATAGTTTGGAATTCAAAAAATTTCTCAAGGTAAGATTTAAAAGATCGAAGAAAATATAAGGAAGAAAATTTAACAAGAAAAATTACTGTTCAGGTATATAACCCAACTCTATGTTCAGCAGTAACAAAACATGGTTATAATCATATATCAATTATTAAAACATAACACCAATAGCTTCATTGTTACTGGTTAGTTGAAAATTTTGAAGAAAACAAAAACTAAGAAATTCATTATGGAAAAAGGAGAAAAACGAAAAACCTCATAAATGGTAGGCGCCTAAATAAGTAGTATTTTCTTATTGATATTCTAAAAATAGAAAAGAAAGATAGTAGATGATAATCTGAATATAAGTATTCGCACCTAATTCACCAAAAACCAAGAATGAAAATCTTCAACGCTAAGGATGGGTTGGTTAGACAATGGGGATATATATTGATAACATTCAATGTTTATGCGTTAAGTGCAAGATAAAAGTTGTGATTATAATTTATTTTTCCATTGCATCTTCTCAAGACATGTCTAGGGAATAATTTAGGATTAAGGGCAAAATAAAATTGGTTATATTATATTTTTTAATGGGTCGGATTAGGTGGGTGGATCACGAAATGGTTTAAATGGTATTTTTTATTTTTAAAATTTTTGGTTTGTTATATAAATAATTAATATCAGCAAATTTTAATTAACAAAATAATTAAATAGATTGGGTGACTTTCTGAGAGAAGAGTGGATAATTGAGTGACTTTTGAGTTAAAATTCAAAGTTGAGTGACTTTCTGAGAGAGAAGTGCATAGTTGAGTGACTTTTGAGTTAAAATAGAAAGTTGAGTGACTTTCTGAGAGAAGAGTGTATAGTTGAGTGACCATCTGATGTATTAACTCTCAAGCATCAATACGTATACCTTCATTAGGTTAGGAAATTTGTTATTAGTTTTCTTTCTCCTTGTCTATATAGAACACAACGAGGTAAATTGAAAAGGCAAATTAATTCAACTAGTTGTATTCTCTTTTGTAAAATAAAACAAAGTAGAAATAATGCAAAATCTGACTTGTAAACCTAATTGTTCTCATAAAGAAAACAAGAAACATGTCATCGTTATTAATGCTACAGTAACAAATATTTTCTATATCATTAGCGTGCTTAAAGTGTTGAACTTGAATCAAAATTTTCAGATCAATTCAAAGACTAAAGAAACATCAAGGAGTGTGATTTTAATTTTTTTTTTTAATTTGAGAAGATTAACAATGATAACCATCTAATCTATATATGTGACTGAAGATCGAATGAACTAGGTTCATATATGTAATAACAAGTCATTAGTTCATTATGTATTCATTATTAAACTATAGCGTCCCTCCTATGAGATGTGAATATAGTGTTAAACCGCAAAGTGGGGTTAAGTTAAATGCTTAATCTAATTCATATCTTTTATATATATTTGATGATTGACCTATATGAGTGTGGAGTGATACCGCTCCTATGAAATAATGACATTTTTTTAAAGCACTAATGAATATCAGGATACACGAATGACCTTGGTAGCACAAAAATCGCGACAACGACAATGATTATGCGAGTATAATGTGATATAATAAAACTCTGAGTTTATAAAAGAATCTTAGTTCATAAAGTTCTAAACTTCACCAATTGTTTTATAAAATTAATCTTGTTTCATCAAAGTATGGTTCATAGTCTACCAGACATAAAATTTGAAGCGTGGTACATATGTGAAAGCCCAATTACACATACTTTTAAGGCAAAATTACAATTTATCCCTTAAAAGTTTATAATTACAGAAATCCCTCATTTTCGCGCATCAGATTAGTGTATCAGTGCTTATACTATTGTATCTTGCGCATCAGATTAATGTATCAGCGCTTATATTATTGTATCTCACGCATCAGATTAATATATCAGAGCTATCAAGAAGATCATGAAGAAGGACGAGGATGTCCGAATGGTCGCGGCTGAATCACCTGTTTTGCTTGTTAAGGCATGTGAGTTGTTCATTCAAGAACTCACCCTTCGTTCCTGGCTTAACGCTCAAGAAAACCATCGACGTATTCTGAAGAAGGATGACGTCACTGATGTGATTATGCAGACTGCCAATTTGGATTTCCTTGTTGATGATGCTATTGACGGCTCCACACCTAATGTTGTGCCGTTCAATGTTGATGGAGGCAGCAATGGACGTACATGATGGTAATAATCTTGATCATTAAAGGTAACGTTCTCATTTCCTTAATTCACACCTATAGGGTTACAAAAAAGTACTAACAACATACTCTTTGTCTATATTGTTTGATAATACAGGTTCTGATGTTTAGTATTCATCTTGTGGTTATTGCTATCTCTGATCAACAAGCAACAGTATTGATGAGTCCTCATAACTTTGAGGACAACCCTTATCTTTCTTTTCAGTTTCAGACAGTTGGAGTTAGCAAGGGGTTTGTCCTAGCAACTCATATTAGTAAAGGCTTTTAGACAGTCATATCAATATAGATTCTGCTTATGTTATTTCTTTCATATATTAGTCTATCTCAGTATTATGGGGCTATATATATATTTCAGATTTAGCTTCCGTGTTTATGTTTCAATTTTTTATTGATTTATGTTAATCTTAGTGTCATATCACGCCATGAGGTTAGCTTGGGGTAATTACTTGTGGCTCTAAGCACTGTGTCGGATCTAGGGGTAATCTCGGGGAGTGACATAAGATCCTATGCTTACAAAAGAATTTTTGGTTCATAAAAGTTCTAAACTGCACCAATTATTCTTTAAGTTTAATTTTACTTTATCAAGATATAGTTCATTGTCTACAACACACCAAATAATACTTGAAACCCACCAAAGTTTCTTATTATTATTATTATTATTTTGCAATATGTGGATGATTATTGGAAAAAAAGATTTGGATATCTCAAAAAAAAATATTAATGTTAGGTTAATTAGTTAATATCTTGTTATAATTAGTATTTAATATGATAATTATCTAACAATTTTATTGTTACATCATATGAAATTATAACAAATCTCCATTGATAGTCTTTATGTAGTTGTCTGATGCTTATATTTTTGGAGTCTAACTAAATATGAATTCGCGCTAGGAAGTTTCTCATTGAAGTAAAACGCTCCCTATATGGCTTTTATCATGCCTTTATTCTTTGGCCACCTTAAATGACATTAATCTTTATTATTTTCTATGAGTCTCTAACGTTCTCCTTAAAAATCAAATATGAAACTTCGTACACCTTAAAGTTCATATGGTTCATTATACAGATATCGTTTTAACGTATTGCCCAATTGCCGATTCACTGCGCCTACCTAGATCTTATGGGCATTGCAAGCTTTTTCATCCATTCGCATGAGATTATTGAATGTTACATTATCGGTTTGATTATCAATTTATCAATTATTGATTGTTATCGATTCGGTTATCGGTTTATCAATTGTTGATTGTTAATTATAGGTTCGGTTATTGGTTTAACCATTAAACTTTGACACAAAGGCGCACTATAGATCAATTCAAAGACTAAAAGAAACGCTGAGGAGTGTGAGATTCTTATCAATTTGAGAAGATTAACAATGATAGTACGTAATCCAACCTATGTGATTGGAGATTAAATGAACTAGGTTTGTATATGCAATAACAAGTCATTAGTAAATATACATTATTAAACTACGGTTATCCCTCCTATGATGTGTGAATATAGTGTTATACCGCAAATTAGTTAACGTTTAATCCAATTCAAATATTTTATAGGTCGTATATTGCTCTGCATAATACATTTGATGATTGGACCTATAGATTTTAAAACACGCATGAATTTTAGGATACGCGCATCATGACATGTTAGTACAAAAATTGCGATAACAACAATGATTTTGCGAGTATAGTTATGTGATATAATAAAATTTGGAATTTATAAAAAAAAATCTAAGTTCATAGAAGTTCTCAACTTCACCAATTGTTCTATAAAATTAATCTTGTTTTACCAAAGTATGATTTAGAGTCTAAAAGACATCAAATTTGACGCATTGTTCACATATCTTAAAGCCCATTTATAACAAACGTTTTAATTCTTTCTATTCATTATTGTTCTTTTTGTGATATATGGAGAATTGTAGAATTTTTTAAAATTAAAATAACTCAAAAAAAGAATTATTTTTATTAATGTTCAGGTTCATTCATTAATACCTTATTGACTAGAACTAACTAGTATTTAATAAGATGGATTTCTTACAATTTTATTGTTACATATTAAATTGTAACAATTTTTCATTAATAGGCTTGATGAATGTAGATTTAGAAAATCTATAATTAGATTTATTTTTCTCTATATATAGAGAGAGCACACAGTTGCCTACATATATCAATCTTCATTTCTGTGTGTCTGAGCTTGTAAACATAGAAAAAATCACCATGGAAAACAACTCTGAGAAATCGGCAGTGAATGCAGATCAATCCGCTGGATACCCAACGCTGGAGATGTTCTGGAAATCCCAACAGAGTGAAATGGAGAACGTTAATGATTTCAAGAGCAGGCTGCTACCTCCACCAACCCGCATCAAGAAGATCATGAAGAAGGACGAGGATGTCCGAATGGTCGCGGCTGAATCACCTGTTTTGATGGCTAAGGCATGTGAGTTGTTCATTCAAGACCTCACCCTTCGTTCCTCGCTTAACGCTCAGGAAAACCATCGACGTATTCTGAAGAAGGATGACCTTACTGATGTGATTGTGCAGACTGACTATTTCGATTTCCTTCTTGACGTTGTTCATGCAACCGACCCCTTCACACCAAGTTCTGTTCCGTTCTATGCTGCTGGAGGCAGCAATGGACAGGATGGTAATAATCTTGATCATTAAAAGTAACTTTCTCATTTCCTTAATTCACACCTATAAGGTTACAAAAAGTATTGACCATATACTTTCTGTATATTGCTTGATAAAACAGGTTCTGATGTTCAGTATCCAGCTCGCGGTTAGCGGTACCTTTGATCAGCAAGCAACAGTATTGATGAGTCCTCATCACTTCGAGGACAAACCTTATCTTTCTTTTCAGTTATTACTTTCAGTTTCAGACAATTGGAATTAGCTAAGTATTTGTCCTAGCAACTCCTACTAGTAGAGGTTTACTGACAGCCAGATATAGATTTCTTATGTTAATTTATTTCAAATATTAGTTTATCTCATTGTTATGAACTTTATATAGATGTTTCGGATTTAGCTTCTGCATTTATGTTTAAATTTAATGTTGATTTATGTTAATCATAGTGTCATGTCCTGTCATGAGGTTAATTAGCTTGGGGTCATGACTTATGGCTCTAAGCACTGTGTCGCGTCTACAGGTAATCTCGAGGTGTGTGACATAAGTGTTATCTCCTGTATTCAGATTAGCAAATCAGAAATAATAAAAGATGAAAAGAAAAACACAAAGAACTATCTGAGTCCACAGAACCCACTGTGTGTCCTTAAGAAATTTAATCCCCTCAAGTACCCGAGGTTGCAGATTAATTCCTCCCAAGATAAAACGGATTAACCATTAAAAAAGTAGCGGTACCTCAAACTTTGATAATTTCAACGAACTAAAATGACAGCAACGAATCACACACACAGACACGATCGATCGATTTTGTTTTGTAAGAAATGTATGGAAAAGAAGGGAAGAATTCGATGCAGAAAAATAAGAGACAACCTCTCTATTTATAGCCAACAAAGGGTAAAGGTCACAACCCTTTGGAAAGAAGACAACCTTTCAGAAAGATCACAACACTTTGGAAAGGGCATAACCTTTCAATCGGTCACAAACCTTTAGAAAGGACACAACATTTCATAAAGTTCACAACCATTCGGCATAGTCACAACTCTTCAGGAGAGTCACAACCCTCATTTCCTGTTCACACCTTTAAAACCCAACAATCCCCACATGAATAGGGAATGACTATTGTTAAAACATATGCATGAAAAACAGTGTGATTCGTAATTAAGGATTGATTGCCTCTGGATAAGTGGGTTTCCCTTTGAACTTTCCGTAGTGAACATATATCGGATATACTCGGTCAATCGGTAGATTTGATATCTTTGAACCGTCGAGCTTTGGTGTATACCTAGACAACATAAGTCACACAATCAACCATTGAACTATTTTTTGTTCTCATTGTTTTGTTCGTTTCAGCCATGAACACATCTCGATTTATAAGTGCGTAGAGAACTGGCCTTACCGGATTCTCCTTGAAGCGGCTTACACTTCACACTTACATAAGTGATTCTAAATATGTTTTCCCATAGATACACCATTTGATATACCCTATTAGGTAGAGTTACCGCCACAATGACTTGTTCTCGGCCATAGTTCCATTCCCTTTGATGATCTCTCAACTCCCTCTCTAGTTAGGCCTTTTATAAGTGGTCCGACACATTATCCTTTGACTTTACATAGTCAATTATGATAATTCCACTAGAGAGTAGTTCTCTAACGATATTATGTCTACGTCATATATGACGAGACTTTCCGTTATACATCATGCTCCATGCCCTACCTATTGCAAATTAACTCTCACTGTGTATGCATACTGGAGCTAAAAGGTTTGGGCCAAAAATCTTTCAAGAAATTTTGGAGTCATTCAACTTCTTTACCGGCCTTATCTAGAGTGATAAACTCAGATTTCATAGTAGAGAGAGCGATACATTTCTGTTTGGAATATTTCCAAGAGACTGATCCTCCACCAAGAGTAAATACATATCCACTCGTGGATTATACTTCATTTGACCTGGTGATTCAATTTGCATCACTATATTCTTCCAATACT